AGATAACATCTTATGCAGCCCAGACTATACAGCCTTGGAATCCAGTGACACCAGTACCAGGGGACTGTACAAAACTGATGCATATTGTCTTAAAGTTGCCTTAATGGCTTTTAATTAATTATTATTACTATGTTGTTGTGATGCCGTAAGGCCGAAGTTTTGATTGTCATCTGCCCCGAGCCTGTTCGCAGGGAGGGCAGAAAATAAATGTGGAAGATTACATTAAATTAAAATTAAATGGTGACCCATAAAAAAGTATCCCTTTATAACAGAAGACCAGCAGACAGATCAAGTTTAAATGAGCCAATAACAGTCAGGAATTGTTTGAATCTCCTTTCTAGTAACAAACAGTGGTATTCTACAGTTTTCCTTACTGCAGGGTTGTTAACTCAGGTAAAGCTAGACTTACATGCCAACAGCCAGGAAGCCTGTTCCAGTGTAAAAACAAAACGAAAACCTACTAGAACTGGAGATGTTATGCATTAAAAGAAGGTTCACAGAAACGACTTACCTTTAAGGCATAATTTTCTGGACCCAGGGAATAGGAGTTGCCGCCTAGGACAAGATTCACATTGGGAAGGGTAGAGAGCTTATCACAAGGAAGCATGTACTGCAAAAGGGGAAGAAAAGAAAACAGAAGCATAAGAATCTGACACGGATGCTAATCAGGGGTCATTTCCTGCAGGAGTGCACAGGAGCGGAGCTCCAGCAGTAAAGAGCCCAGGGGGTGGGCCCATGCAACAAGCCCCACCCCCTGCTCCCAGCAGCCCTCAGTCAGAGCAAGAAGCAGCCAGGTAAGCTGCGGAGCCCCCCCCCCCCGCTCCCTGGTCCAAAACAGTCCAGTGGAACCTTTAAGACCAAGTTTTATTCAGGTACAAGCTCTCCCTCCTCTGTGAGGACAGATCTCCACGTTCTCCCCCCCCCAACAGCTAGCAATCCAAAACTGTCCAGTGGAGCCTGAGCAGTGGGTGTTGCCTTCTGACAAACTTCCGGTGATGTCAGGGGGTGTGGCATATGCAAATAAGTTATACTAATGAGCTCCTGCACCTCTTTTTCTACAAAATGACCCCTGAATAACCGCCGCACAAAATATGGAAGCTTGCCTTTGCCGGGTACTGAGTAGAGTTTGCATAGAACATCCATCTTGCAACAACTGTACTGGCTACCTTATGAGATCCTTACACATTTTCAGTGCTGGCATCCTAGATGAGGTTGGTTTAAAGAAGCACTTTGCTGTAGTCCAAAATCCAGCATTCTTAAACCCAGGAATCTCCCTTATATATAAAAGCCGAATGGTGATGGCACTTCTCTAGAACATTCCACACGCTCCGGAATTGGTTGGCGCCCTGGTGTGTCACTCAGAATCTGTCCCTATCCACTGGCTGCATTGCTTGAGTCTTGCCTTGCCTCCAACATTCTAAACAGTTTGCTGTTCCTCCCCCCCCCCGCCCATAGCCAGTCAGAACACAGAGGTTATTTGCATATGCAGCCTCATTGGCCTTTGCCTCGGAACACAGAGGTCATTTGCATATGCGACTCGATTGGCTTTTGCCTCTAACTTTCCAAACAGTTTGCTGTTCTGAGGTAAAATGTGTCCAATCTCCAGGTGAGGGCTGGAAATCACTTAGAATTACAACTGCTTTCCAGATGGCAGAGATCAGTTCCCCTGGAGAAAATTGTGGGCTCTGTATCCTTATATGCTGCTGAGGTGCCCCCCAAATGACAGCCAATGTGACGTAGCAGTCAGGGCTTCAGAGCACGGGAGAGGCTGCATGTGTGTGGGAAGTGGAAAGCTGAAGAGTGAGGGGGAAATAAAGGTAGGTTGATGATTGGCTGGGAAGGAGATAGGGTTGCCAACTCCAGGTGGGAAATTCATGGAGATGTGAGGGATGGAGCCTGGAGAGGGTGAGGTTTCAGGTGCAGGACGATGTGGCCCTGAGGAAGTACTGTACTGATTTCTGGGATAAGTTTAAACAAAAAATTATTTATTTAATAAAGAACAAAATAGGTTTCTGGTTATTTTGAACTGTTAACGAAGAAAGGAACTTGTAACTATAACTGGCAAAACGTGGTGCTACAAACAGTCTCTCAACCTCTTAAACTCCACTCTGACAGGCTTATACATTCAGTATACTCTCTCTCTTATATATATATATATATATATATAGACAGTCAAATCAAAATTTGTAATTCGCAATAAGCTTTGGGGATGCTAAAATACTGCTAGGTTGGCAGGAGCTGGAACTAGAGACAGGAGCTCACTCCGTCATGCGGCACACTTGGGTCTCGAACTGCTGAACTACCGACCTTCCACAGCCTGCAGTTCAGCGTCTTAACCACTTGAGCCACCGCAGCTCCTTTACTTCATGTACTATGCAGGAATTTGTATCCAAACAAATGCAGCACTAGGTAGCATGCTCCATTCATTCATTCATTCATTCGTTCGTTCGTTCGTTCGTTCGTTCATTCATTCCACAACACAAACTTTTTCTTCACAATAACTGTGGCAGCCTACATAAATTAGTTATTTTTTCCCATCTCCCTGTGCTCTAAGCACTGGTTCAAATCTTGCCTCAGCTTTACATTTAGAAAGGAGCCTCAGGGAAGCAGAGGAAAGTAGGTAGTATTGTTAATTAATTCCTTCATTTTAATTTTGCATCAGAGGAGGCACCATTTGGATTTTTTTGCCTTAGGTGCTACAACATCTCAGGCCATCTGTATTACAGGGCACTGTCCTACTTTACAGGGCTGTAGTGAGGGTTACAAGGAATGAGAAGCTCTTTAACTATTCTAGAAACACTCTATAAATACCAAGAATTATTATGGCAAATGCATTTTGCACTGGATTAGTACTGTGTTGTATGACTCGTCCTGCTCTTGACCCCCCCAAACCCCTTACTTCTGAGCAGTAGTTAGTTAGAAGATCCATAAACCAAATGGTCCCACCCCTCCTGTACATTTTTAAAAACTTCAGGAAAGGAAGAATCATCATGTGCTGCATTTCCCCAAGATTCTGCCTTCTATGGAAAACCCCTGAGAAGAGCTCTAGGAAGAATGATACCCTTCTAAGTCCATTGAAGTCAGTGGGCTTAGAAAGGTGCTTTAGGATGGCACTGTTGGGGTCTGGACTGACAACCCGAGGCTGACTTGTTGATGCGGAAGGGAGAGCAGTACCTAGCGGACAGTAAGCCCTGTGAGTCATTGTACAAGAGGACTATGCTGCTACTGTCAGATAATTTCCTTTCCAATGCAGGAAAAGGTCTCTTGAAAGAGATTGTGCTTTACGAGTGCTGAAACAGCCTACCTCTTCCAAGCATGAAAAGGGTTAAAGGCCGAAGTGAAACCATGGCTGGGCATTTCCCAGCCACCCACCCCAAGTTATGCCATTTTTTTAGCAGAAACAATTTTTTTTTCACATGCTAGCTTTTCAATATCTAAGGACTGAGCTTATCTGGCCTTTCCAGACATGACTACATTAAGTTTACACTTCCGCAGTGAAATTATTGCAAATACACAGCATGCTTGTACTTATACAGTTTTTCCCATTTGTTTTTCTAATCTGCAGATAATCCATGCAACACTGCTTCTGTCCTCAATGCTCAAGTTTTTTTTTAAAGTCCAACTACCACCAGTGAAAAAGCCAACAACAGACTCCTCTTACCAAGGCGGGGGAGACTGGATTTATACCCCACCCTTCACGTGGAATCTCAGAGTGGCTTACAAACACCTTTCCCTTCCCCTCCCCACAACAGACACCCTGTGAGGTAGGTGGGGCTGAGAGAGCTCTTTCCAGAACAGCTCTGATAGAACAAGGGATTGCCCAGGATCATCCAGCAGCTGCAAGTGGTGGGGAATCAAACCCGGTTCTCCCAGATTAGAGTCCGCACACTTAACCATGACACCAAACTGGCTTCTTGTAAGTAGGTCCTATCAAACAACTTCTCAGACTCTACCCTATTTAAACCAAACACCTTAGCTGCCAGTTCCAGATCCAGTTCATTTTAACTTACAAGAACTCAATGGAAGAAGAGCTCTTCTGGGTCAAACCAACAGTACACCCTGCTCAGCATCTTGTTTTCCAAAGTGCCCATTCAAGTGCTTCCAAGTTGGCCACGCCCAGCAGGAACTCATTAGCATAATAGGCCACACCCAACAGCAGAAACCGATTAGGATTGGCTACATTAGGGGTGTGTGGCCTAACATGCAAAGGAGTCCCTGCTACAAAAAAGCCCTGGGTTTTGGCAACAAACAAGGTAAACAGAATAAGAAGCAAAAGGTGGGTGTGGCCGGATGAGCACACTTCTGGTAAAATGGGGGTGTGGCCTAATATGCCAATGAGCTGTGCTGTCAGGGGTGTGGCCTAATATGCTAATGAGTTTCCTGCTATTGGGTGCAGCCTATTATGCTAATGAGTTCCTGCTGGGCTTTTTCTACAAAAAAATGTCCTGAATTTAGCTATCATGGCTAACAGCAGCTGATAGACCTATCCTCCATTAAGTTAGTCCATTCCCCCTTTCAAGACACCTGAGCCAGTAGACATTGCCACATCCCGTGGCAGCAAACTGAATGTTAATTATGCATTATATAAATACATATTTCACCTGTCCTCAACCTACTGCCAACCGATGTTATTGTGCAACTATCAATTCCAGTAGTATGAGAGACAGGAATGTTTCTCCCACTGTCAACTTTCTCCACACCACGGTTTGGATTCTTCCAGACTTTCTGCTAGTGAAAGACCACTAGTCAGGGTATGCAAGGGATCACAATACCCACATGAACAAAAGCCACATGGGATGGGTGGTGGCGGTGGTAGAGTTAGGAAGGGAACAGGATGAGATCAAGTGGAAAACCCGGCAGCATTCAACCCGATTATTAAATAAAGCTCCATCATATTCCTCCTTTAGTTGTTTCCCCTCCCCTAAACTCCTAAGACATGTCTTCCAAATCTTTGATAATTTTGGTTGTCTTTCCTGGCATCTTTAATATTTAACTGTGCAGTCCTAAACAAAATTGCATCCCTCTAAACCCACTGACTTCCATGGATTTAAAAAGCTAAAGGTTCCCTTGCTCGAAAGCCAGTCAAATCCGACTCTAGGGTTGCGGTGCTCATCTCCGTTTCAAAGCCGAAGAGCCAGCGCTGTCTGAAGACATTTCCGTGGTCATGTGGCCGGCATGACTAAACACCAAGGCGCACGGAACGCTGTTACCTTCCCACTGAAGTGGTACCTATTTATCTACTTGCAATTTCTTAACCACTTGAGCCACCGCAGCTCCAATCAATAGATTTAGAAGGACGTAATTCTGCTGTGCAGCATTTTAAACCCACCTTTCTTCTTACAAAGAGAGTCAAGACTCTTCCAGCTCTACAATACCACTTTTCAGCTGGAGAGACCTGAAGTATACACAATACCCCAAATGCAGCTGCACCGTAGAGTTAAATAAAAGCATGAAGATAATGGTCGTCTTATTTTCAATTTCTACCTTAATTCCTAGCATGGAATCTGCCTTTTTCATCACTGATGCCTATCTAGTTAGCCAACAGTCCACTATAACCCAAGACCCTCTTTCCTTATAACCAGCTCGCTTCAAATCAACATGACGTTTCCACTGGTAGGTTGACTGACAACTTGTTAAAGAAATGTTATCACAGAGTACTTCCAGGAATAGGTGGGAGACCTAGTTCTGTTTGTAAAAAAAGAAAGACGCTTCCAGGTCTTCAGCTGCCAGATGGCACAGAAATACTTGGCAGGCATTGCCTCTCATTCCCGGTGCACTGCGATGCAAAGGACAATACCTGCTAGGCTTCTCACTGTCCTTCAGCTACTTCAGGTACAGGAAAACATCAAAGGCAGGAGTGACCAACTGTTTATTATGGACAGCTCTTATTCAAGCCAACTACTCTAAGCATAAGTCATTTGATAGAACCAGTTTGAACTTGTAACCAAATTGCCTTTTGGGTACTTTGGGGCGACTCAAACCAAAGCCACTAAACACACCTGAATCCAAGCCTAAAGTAAAACCAATACATAAATAGCAGCTTAATCCCCATTTAGTCATTTACCAACATCAGAGCAGGCACTCCACCCGAATCCCTGCCCTGCATTTACCTGTCCTTTAATTATTGGCTTGGCGCCAATAGCTTTCTGTAGCTTCTTAATTTCCTCAGTCGGCCCAGTAATGAGAGAGGTTCCAGTGTCTACAATAGCTTCACAGCCATCTTTGCACAAAGTCAGGCCATTAGCAATATTAACCCTGTAAAAGACAGACCATTCAATGAACAAATGCATTCAAACCTATCCATTTTGGTACAACCGGAGTACAAGGCAGCTACTTTATCTATGTTTAAAACAAATGAACAAACAAACAAATAGGAAAAAGACCACTTTACATTACATTACATTACATTACATTTGC